ACGTCAAACTTAGCGTGGATAGCCTGCCGCCCTGATGCCAGCAAACACAGAAAATCTCCACCACAAGCAGCTGTTTCCAAATCGTCGCTGTGCTCAACATTGACTGGGGGAAAGGAAGGAGAAGATGACAGAGCAACTGAATCGTCATAATGCAACTCACGGTCATCTCTCATGCCCTGCCCTCCGCACACAACCACTTGCTCACCGACATTCTTAGAATCGCACTGCTTCCAGAGATGCTGCCTGACATGCTTGGCACGAATGCGGCGGGCTTTGGATTTGGAAGCGTTCGCAAGATCACCTGAAAAAAGACTTGGCTCTTGAAGGCAAGACGCATTCCAAATGACCGATAACACTCAATGGATATCCATGACAACATTAGCCACTGACATCGAATGACTTTCAACCGATGAAGGGCCATCGAAAAGGGACGCTGGCGATACAGAAGCATACATCGGATAAGCACACACTGGAAAATCACTGAAGATCTGAACACTGTATCAAGAACTCTGCCGACCCGGCTTGAGCCTTGATCCTCCTCCTCCTCGTCCTCACCCGCCTATTCCTCCTCCTTCCTCTCTCCCTACCCCTCCTCCTGATCTGATCCTCCGGTTCCTCCTCCATCCTCCCCCTCTTGGGTATGACTTCTTGCCCAGCCCTTTACTACACGGCATGTTCCTTCACATCCCTGATCAGGATAACTCGCCTTGGCATCGTTTCTGGATGGGCTGGTGGGGTTACTCGAAGCGTCTAGAATTAGACTTAGATGGTGCACGAATGGAAACGAATCGGGCGCACACAGCTCAGGGATCTCCGAGACCGGAGGACTCGGAGGACGCGGTGCCGCGGCCGTTCCAGAGTGCATCGGAGAACCCTGAGACGAGATTGGCTCATCCTGAATACGACGGACATGGCATTGCCCTCGCCGCTCTCATCGTCGTCGTCCTGTCCTCTCCCCGTCTGCGATTGCGCGAATTCACACTCACGGCCTCGTCCGTCGGCAATGGTCCCCCCTGCGCTGCCACCGCGCAGCTCCTTCCTCCGCGCGCGTGGTCGGCCCCTCCGTCCTCGCCCTCGCCTCGCCCCATCCTCAGCTGCGCTCCCAGCGCGCACTCCCCAGCGGGGGGGCTCCAAGGAGGCCCTCGCGGAGGGGTGGTGCATGAGTGGCTTATGGGGAACAGGACAAAAAGACTGGTGATTAGGGGAACAAAAAATAGCATAAGCATAAAAACCCGGAGATCCGCGCGGATTTCTCGGATCGGCGCTGGACCCCCCTCCCTGGCGCGCGGAACGCGCCAGGGGCGGCGCCGGAGGCGCCGCCAGGGGGCCCCAGCGCCGATCCGAGAAATCCGCGCAGAACCCCTTGTTCTGATGTATATGTCACTTTTTGTTCTCCTAGTGATTCCTCGACTGAAATCTGAAGACGGGCTGGGTTCCGCTGAGGTACCCCTGGCGGAAACGCGCCGCAAGGCGCCGCCGATACTCGGCCCCTGCATCCTCTGCGCACGCAGCGCACAGCAGGTGGCCGCAGTACACGATGACACGGTCTGGCGGCCTGTCCAAGCAGATGACGCACCGCTCCCCTGCCGACTCCACCGCGCGCCGGAGCGCCTCTGCCATGCTGCCGAGCTCCCTGGCGCTGTCGCTGCAGGCGACGCAAAGCGCCCAGCCCGACAAAAAGGCACCTGAGGGGCGACGTCAGGGGGGGAACAGCTCAGAGGGGGGGGGGGGGCATCGACCTGGAATCGCCCCTAAGAAAACTCCAGACGGCCTGACAGGCCCCGGAAAGGGCTCCAACGCGGCCCTGGGGGCCCTCAAGATTGCCCGAAGAGGAGACCCCGTTGGGGATCCAAACGGATTGAAAAAAAAAAGAAAAACAAAAATAAGGATGTAGAAGAGAAGGTGACCTTTTCAGGCCGAACGCGGTTGTGAAATGGGTGAGTGGATCTGCCGAACGCGGGCGCGAAGATTTGGCCAACCTTCGGGCCGAAACGGTTGCGGGAGACAGGGGGAGAAAAGGCAGCAGCAGGGCCAGGGAGCAGGGGATTATCTGTAGACGGGTGCTGTTCGAGTCTGGTGCCCAAACAAATCCGCTGATCCCTCGGCAGGATCTGTTACCCTTCCACCAAGAGACCAACCCCGCCCTGCACACCTGCCGCAGGCCTGGCCTGCAGCTCCAGGAACCCCACGTCGAAAGTCTGCGGGCCGAGGAGCTGCGCCGGGTGGAGCACCGTGCAGTCGCAGGGGCTCAACTCCCGGCGCGCCTGCCAAAAAACCGCCTACATCAACATCCATGGGATGTCGTCTCCCTTCACTGTCTGTGGAGAGCCGGCAAGCGGCACGGCCCTCCTCACGGATATGGAGGCCAGGAGCATGTTGTCGTACTCCTGGGCTTGTCTGATGAGGCTGGCTGCGCGGTGTCGCAGTCGCAGTCGGCTCACCATTCAGGTTGTGCAGCTCCCTCAGTCTCTGTGCCTGCACTGGGCTTGTGGTTCGGCATCGAATGCTGGCTGCTCGGCGCGCTCTTCTTCCGCTTCTCTTCGCTGAAGCGCACCGCAGGGTGAATGCAACTGGCGCGGCCAGTCATAACTCCCAAGATGAAGTCCCGACCGGTGCTTCCCTTAGTCATCAGGTCGGCCCTCATGACTCTGGCGTCGCACCGCAGCATGTCTTCGAGCTGCTTGGTGCGACGCTGGTCGCTCAGCCACCAGAGATGGCCGGCCATCGAGTTCTCGGATGGCGGCCGGGCGGGGTCGGTAACAAGGGCCGCGAAGACCGACATGCCGTCTACGACTAGCTCTGCTGGGATGGCGTAGCCCCCTTCCTCCCTCAACCGCCGGATCTCCTCCGCGGTGGCCGGGCCGTGCGCCATCTCGTGCATGGCGAGGAGGCGCTGCTGCACCCCGTCAGCTACGCCGAATGGCGCGAGCAGTTCTGAGCCGAAGGGGGATCTGCACGCGAGCTTGTGTGATCTGCTGATGGCGCCCAGCAGGTGGCAAACCTCCTTGCCCGTCTTGGGGCACGCGCCCGTGCGCATGCACGCGGCGCCGCGCATGCCGCACCCTGTCTCGTCCTCCCTCTTGAAGGAACCGTCGCTGTGCCCGACGAGCCGCTAGGCGCAAGTCATCGCTGGGAAGACGATGCGCGCCTTCAACTTCTGCAGGGCCAGATCGACGGAGTTGAGCTGCATCGCGTGTCTGATGAGCAGTTTGCTCTTGGCTCTCTGCAGTGCAACTACGCACGCACCCGCATGGCACTGTGTAAGCAGCGCGTGGGCCACTGCCCCCAAGAAGGATACGAACAGGTCCGGAAGCGGACCAGTGGCCACCTGATCCGACCTGACCTTGACCAGGTCGACGTGCCTGATAGGCATCGGCGCGTCGATGTACTCGTTCTGGTCCAGGGTGACCGCGCCGTCCTTGGCGCGGCTCTGATGGACGCCGCAGTTGGTGAAGTCCTCCCAGTCACCCTTCATCTTGCCAAAGACGCTCTCGATGTGAAAGATCAGCTGGTCCACGTGCTTCTTCTGCCCAGCAACCTTCAAGTCGTCTACGTGCTTGGACAGCATGAGCGCTAGTTCTGAGGCACCGTGAGCATAGCTCATTGGTGCCTCGTGTTTGACCTCGAGCTCCGGGCCCCGGCGCGTCGGCTTGGCGCTGCACTTTGGAGAGCGCGTGACCCGGGCGAGCTTCATGGAGAAAGCCCGCGGTGCATCCTTGCAGCCTGTGCCCGGCTCGATGCAATGGAGGCACTCCGTCGTCTCGTCGAAGTCCTCGTAGCCAGGCACCTTCCGCAGTATCGCGGCGCTGCCGGGAGGTAGCGTTAAGTTGACCTCCCTAGGTGCCTCGCCCTGCCCCTGCATCTCCGAGTAAGTCATCCCTTGCAGGAAGGCCTTCTCCGCGCCCGCGGCGACATGCACCCAATCTGGTCTGCAAGCCGCCTCCAAAGACAAGATGCGCCGAGGCGAACGCTTCGCTGCCCCAGCGAACGTCTCCAGCGCCCCCGCGCCCATGTCTCTGCAGCCCCGCAGTGCCTTCCGGCAACTGATAATGCGGAACATCTCGCCCTCCGCATTCTTGCGGTGCTTCCACTTGAAGACGTGGCGGGAGTCCAAGACGTCCCGAGCTCCTAAGGGGTCGTCGCTCGAAACACTTGCACTTGACCCAGATGGTGAGCTCCTCCGAGATGGCTGCGGCAACCTCTTGGGACAGCCCAGACACCTCCTCCTTAGTGAGCAAGTCGGTGCCGCGCTTGATTACCGCGGTCTTGACGGCGGCGTAGACGTTAAGCACAGCTGTCCACGATGATGATCGACATGGTCGCTCATCTCGGTCTGCGTGCTCAGGAATGCTTCGCGCACTCCGGGGTCAAGGCGCAGCCCCACGTGTGGACCTTGATCATCTTCCTCCTCCAGCGTGGCATACTCGGTAGTAGTGGCACCTTTCGTTGATCACCTGGCGCTGACGCTGCGTCTCCACGTGCGATGGCCACTCGGAGGGCCGACGGCCCATGCCGGCCGCAGCGTGCTCGATGGCTGCGTAGACCTGCTGCTAGTTTTCCTCGCAGCCATCCTTCATGAGCTCGCTGGCGATGTCGTCGGCATTCTCGACCTCTTGCCACGCGGCTAGCATCACCTTTTGGATGTAGCCGGAGAAGTCGCTCTCGTCGCCCTCGGGTATGACTGAAAGCGCCGAGGGTGCCCTTCCGTAGTCGACGCAGCATCCTCGTGAGATCCGACAACATGGTGTCCGATCTCGCCTTCGGGCTCAAAACCGACGACTCCCGCCATAAAGGGGCTCATCGCCCATAATGAACTGCAGGATGCGGGCGCTCTTCCAGGCGTCACCGACCAAGGAATACGAGTCGAAGTGCACGCTGTTGAGGTGCATCTGCTGCGTGTCGTAGGGGTCCTTGGGAAACCACCAAATGACCAGACTGCGGGAGCAGCCCGGCCAGGCGCCGACCTGTTTCTGGCCTCGGATCAGACGTATGGCACGAACGTCTGACATCTGAAAGCATCTGTGGGCCAGATGGCGCAGGGCTTGTGAGACCTCGGGCTTCTGTCGAGCCTGCTCGGTGAGGCTGACGTTGCCGCTGTCCTCCCAGTGGCCGAAGGCACGAGCTCCTGATCCTTCCTGGATGTGCTCGATGAGGTCCTCGACCAAGTCCCACGCCAGGCCGGCGCGTGTCACCCTGGCGCCGAGGTCGTCGTAGACCGCGCCGATGAAATGACGGACGTCCTGCAATCTGCAATTCACGTCGGCGCGGCGGTACTTGACAGCGACCTTCCCGCGCGCCGGATCCACTGCATTGATCGTCCCTGGGCCTGCCCAGCCTAAAACATCCTTGGTGTCGGGCGGCCGATGGATCTCCACGACGTTGAACTGGCCCTCGCCGGACGGCAGGGCGCGCGTCCGGGGTGCTCGGTTGACGCGTGCTATCGAGGTCGCCTCGATCATGCGCTGCAGTGCGATCTCGCGAATGCGCCACTGCAGTTGGCTGGGCTAAGTCTCGCCACCAGGAGAAGCAGGATTGGACTCCTCGGCATGGCCAGATTCGTCCGCACCCTCTGTGTCGACATCTAGCGGCGACAGCATGCTGGGCTGCCGTCCGAAGACCACGTTGTAGGGCGCGCCGCCGCCTACATGCGTGGGGCTGTTGCCGGCGAGGCTGGCGTTCGCCGGCATGGGGTCCAAGTTCGCCGCGAGGCTCTCTCGCTCCAGTTGCTCCTCGGTGGTGTGCCGAGCATGGCGCAATATCGCACCGCGTCGCTCTATGAAGCGCGCGTGCTGCCTGGGCGCCTGCGCGCGCAGGGAGATACCTCGACGCTTGAGCTCCTCGTCGAAGTACTTCGAGGTCGCCATTCCGCCCTCGCCGTCCACAATGAGCTGTTCCATAGCTCCGAACAGCTGCACCCACGACTTGTCGATCGCGGCCAGCATCGTGGAGTCGTGCCTGTCGCTGATCTCTTGGCCGTTATGCCATCTGGAGGCGCAGCAGATCAGCTGGGACACCATGCGGTCCTTGTAGAACATGATGTCGCACTCGACGTGATGGTTGAACCTGGTGGACAGGCGGAAGGTCGGCACTGTCTGGCGCGCTGGCGGTAGCCATTTGCGACACCCACGACAGTTGTCCACGACAGTCGGGATGAGGTCGAGGATATCCTGGTTCACGCTGGCGGCCCTCAAGGCGCGCAGCATCTCCTCCTTGGTGGCGTGCCACCACCCGAGGCGCAGCTTCCGCAGCTCCCTCGTCCTTGCGACTTGTGTCGCAAGAGTTGCTGCGAAGTGCCGTAGCGACGTGGTCACGTCGAAGCGCGCCCAGTCTGCTGGCGCCGGGTTCCCCACTGACGCGTCGGCGGCCTTTTGGACGAGGCGCCGAGAAACCTGCCCGGCGAGGCCCGCAACCGAGCTCGAGGCCCAACAGCATGGCTGTGGCCTCCTTCATCTTCTAGAGCAGCAGCGGCGGGGCCGTCAGAAGACCCAGCGGCGGCGGCAGCAGGTCCAGCTCGTTCTGGAAGAGCTGTCTCGTCGGCAGCACCAAGGTCTGCACCGCCACGTAGCTGCGCCTGCGCGTCGCTGGAAGGAGGGGGCCCTCCAGGCACCGCTGGGGCTCGTGGATGTCGCCCCGTACGACGACGGGGTCGGACGCGAGGATCGGCGAAGCGGCACTGGCTGAAGATGCCGCTGTGGAGCGGATGGTCGCGCTCCTTCTCCGCCTTGCAGCCAGGGCGCTCTTAGTGGACCGGCACCGCATGTGGGGATCGGCAGGTGGCCGGATCCCTGGAGCGCTTTGGCGAGTAAGCCCGCAAGCTGCGCCTGCAGCCGCTGCGCGTATATCGGGCTCGCTCGGCTGCAACTTCGCGCCTGATATCCCCTTCTGTGGCTCCCGAGGCCACGGCAGGATACACTGAAGCTGAGGCGGCGCTGGCCTGGACATGGTCCGTGCCAGCCGTGCGCCTGCGGCGAAGGTCCACAATGCCTTGGACTAGCCGCTCGGCCATGCGCCATGGCCAGATCCTGGCGGTGTGGCTGTTGTGGCCCTCTATGTGCACGTGCTTGTGCCGTCCTGGACATCGTAGGCCCTCGAACTGCCTCGGGTCCTCGCCCAGCACGGGCAGCGCCGCGTGGGTCCGCCGCGCGCCTGGCCGCTCGGTTGCGCCCGCGCCGTCCTCGTACTTGCCGACCCCGAACTTCTCCAGCCCCGCGCGCATCGCGGCTTCCCAGCGGCGCGATCGGAGGGCCGTCGCGACGTTGCGGCCGGTTGCCGCGCCCCTCTTCTCGATCTGAATTGAGTCGCACACGTCTCGCCCAAAGGTCACGGGCCCCCCGCGCGCGAGCGTCTGCAACGTGACTTCGCGGTCGGACAGGGCTCCATCCTGGCAGGGCGCGCCGCCCCCGTCAGAATCCGCGCCCGAAGACGGCTCCAAGATGCCCCGGAAGGCCTCCGAATGCACTCCCAGGAGGGCCCCAAACAGCAAAACCCGGTGAATTTCAA